GAATTAGATCAAATAATGATGTATTTCAATTATAATACAAAATATATTTAACTACATACAGTGTATACTAGAGAGGGAGGGGATGGGCAAGGAAGGGGCAGGAAATGACGAGGGAAGGGGCAAGGGAAAAGGGAAAAGGAAGGGGGGGGGGCATAAGGAATAGGGGATTGACAAGGGAAGGGGGAGGGAAAAGGGAAGGGGGAGGGAAAAGGGAAGGGGGAGGGAAAAGGGAAGGGGGAGGGAAAAGGGAAGGGGGAGGGAATAGGAAGGGGGAGAGAAAAGGGAGGGGGAAGGAAAAGGGAGGGGGCTCATCGACGTCATGGGCGCTTGTTGATGTCGTCGGTTGACGTGGTTGTCGTTGTCCTCGTTGTCCGTCGTTGTCCATTGATGTGTCGTCGTTGTCCATTGGCATGTGGCTGTTGTCGTTGTCGCTGACATGTCATCTGTTGTCGTTGTCGTCATCCATTGACGTGTTGTTGTCTGTTGACATGTCACCATCCTTGTCGTCGCTGACGTGACGTGTTGTCATCGTCGTCCATTGACGTGTCCATTGACATGTCCGTTGATGTGTTGTCGTCCTCATCGTCCATCATCGTCCATTGACGTGTGGCCGTCCTCGTCGTCGCTGATGTGTCATTGTCTGTCATCATCGTCGTGTCGTCGTCCATCGTTGTCGTTGTCCGTTGGCGTGGGTGTGATTGGAGGTGACCGTGCTGATCGCGGTGACGGTGGTTGTGGTTGTGGTTGTGGTTGACAGCAAAACACAGAGGCTGATGGTGACGCCGGTGAACGCCGTGACTTGTTTAGGAAGGTGGGCATGAGGATGGGTTATATAGAATAAAAATTGCTAGAATTTTAATAGCCATATGGTGTAGCGGAAATATTGCTGCTGAGAATTCACGTGACATCTCCCGAGGCTAGAGTTCAATCCTTATGCATCCACTTATTTTTATATATATTATAATAACAACAACAAATATTGGAATTCATTGGAATCTGTTGGAATCTGTTGGAATTTGAGTGGAATATATTAAATGTACTTTCCATTGGAATTCCATGGAATCTGGTTGGAATTCCAATGGATTCCAATGGAAACTGTTCCGGGAGGCTCCCGGATTCCAACCATTTCCACTGGATTCCATCGGATTCCATTGGAATTTCCATGGAATTGGAAACCAGAATCATGGAATTCCGACATTCCACTTGGAATCTGCCAGAATCCACCGGAACTCATGGGGGATGGTAAAGACCTCTCATTGTGAACCTCAGCCAACACCAACAGCCCTGGAGGTCTGGTTCCATGGGGCCAACTTCTCTTTGCCATTGTGAGAAGCGCAAGAACGGCGAGTGGTGGAAGGCTCAGAAATGGGCGTATAGTACCCTGGAGCGTTTATGTCATCGGTATGTGCACATCTTGGTTTGTTGCCAGTCGTGCTTGTTCAAGCGTGACCTTGATAGCTTCAGAAAACCATCTGAACTTCGAATTCCTAGCATAATGAGAATATGGAGCGTTTGTGAAACTCCTTGTTACGATGTTCGCTCCGGAGTTTCTCAACATCTATCTTCGCCAGGCAGAGCTTTGTGTGTCAAACCAGGCATAGCTTTCCAAGAAGTCTCAACATCAGATTTTCATGTTCTTTAATGAATGGTATGTACCCTCCTCTCTCTCGTTGAAGGTGGCTTCTGATGCCAGGCAATGTTAGCATGAAACCCAAGTCGACTTGGACCCTTCTCAAGCCCCATTTCGAAAACTTGGTTTCCACCTTTGTGTTTGCCCAACTTTCTTTCAACGATCACGCTACAAAGGAGGAGCTTTGGGAGAACGATCCTGTGGATTATATCCGCGTCTCAGTCAGTACTATATCCATGTCTCAGTCGGTACTATATCCGTGTCTCAGTCGGTATGTACCACTCTTATATGTGATTGAAGCCTGGAAGATGACTTTTTTTCACTAGACAAATACAAGGTGTACGCTATGCCCATATCAGCAGCCACGACCTTTTTATTCTCACTTATTGTGAGCCGAACTAAAGTGACGTTCATGCCTATCCTTGGGTTCATTAATACCATTCTTCGTTCGTGAGTCTTTTCCCTTTGGCTCCACGAAAATGTTGGAGAGGTGCCGAGTGACTCAGAGGGAACGCGTAGACACAGACGACATGGTGGTATGGACTCAAGAACCTACAAACACGACGTGACATGTAAATGTGTATGTAATGACCCTCTGACACCTATGCAAGACCCCGAACACCAGGGGGGATGGAGTATGCATCTGCCAGGATGCACTACTCCAATGTGTACAATTAACTGCTTGTCTTTCAGAAATCCAGCAGCACTCCAGAAGTCTGGAGCTTTGAACACAATCACTGTGTTGGGCCTGTACATCATGCATCACTCGGACATGAAGCGCAACGTGGAGCAATTCATGCTTTGGTTTTTCACATCAGAGCTTTCGAGCCCTGAACCCCGTCTTAGAGCTATCATAAGCCTCTCTCTGGATTGTCTGTTTTCTTTTTTCTCATTGTTAATACCATTTACCATTTGTAGGCTCTAGAAGTCGTTGGCACTGTCACGAAGAACGGGTTCCATTAGTCTATGCCCGAGGTAAGTCTTTTCCTCTTTTTCGTTCTGCGCTAGCGCTCTTGAAGAGGTTTTTTGGGGTGCTCATGGATTGCTTGCTAGAACTTGAACGTTCCCTTTAAAGCTGTTGCTTCTGCTTTGGACGATCCTGTGTTGCCTGTTAGAGTTTAAGCTGCTCTGGCGTTGACTGAGTTGGTTATCTTGCATGAAGATGGTGTATTTATCGTCTGTCGACCTGTTAACCTTTTTAACTCTTTTCCCCAGTAAGAACTGCTGTGGCTTCTCAAGTTGGCCAGGTTATTCAAGGTACGCACTGGGTTATTCATGTGTCTGTGAAGCTGCCACCTGATTGGATAGCCTCAATCACTGCAGCCAGCGAAGCGTGTCCTTCAACCTAACTTTGGCTGCGGATACCAAAGCTGAAAATCGCACCTGTGGACTCTGCGTATGTGGGTGTACTTCCCTGTCTCTAAAACCTTCTACTGTACATGTCTCCTTTTTGGTGCCTGCCACATTCCCTGTTCACCTTCAGTTTCACTCGCAATTTCTTACCGTTCATTTGCTCTCCAATTTCGTCATTTCGCTTGTTCTCCTTGTTCTTCTCTCCCTTTCTTTTCCGCCCTCCTTCTGACTTCGACAAGGCTCAGCCAGTTTCACCCACAGCTCCTTGTATTTTGGCTTCTTCGCCAGGCTAGGCAAATGACACTTTTGGAATCCTCTCGTATCATCTGTTGTCCAGAGAGTCATACGTGCCATGAAATCGATCCAAATCATCCGCGATCTTTGAAGATGTCCAGCTCACTGAGCCCACTTTCTTTTACGCAGAACGTCTAAACATCTCTGGGAGTGCGCCCCAGGATCAGCTTGCTGGAGGGTCCATGCAGTTTCCAGTGAGTATACACCTCCTTCTCATGCTAGTCTTGTGGTCAATGAATCGATGACTGGTGGCTACCACTTTTATCATATAAATAAGGTAACTGCCTAGAGGTCATTGTGTATAAGTCCACAGTATTTATGATAGGGAATCATTCCAGTTGCCATGTCTTTTCATTATCATAAAGCCTGCGCTTTTTTTCATTAATTGTAGGCAAGGCCTTAGACCTCCATCTCATTATGTACCTGGTCAATATCATTGCGATTTTCATTAGCCACTTGGGCAATATCATTGGAAATTTCATTAGCTACTTGACTGATATCATTGCAATTTTCATTAGCCATTTGGAAGTTATCATTGGAAATTTCATTAGCCACTTGGGCAATATCATTGGGAATTTCATTAGGCACCTGGGCAATATCATTGCAATTTTCATTAGCTTAGTTGGGCAACATCATTGGAAATTTCATTAGCTACTTGACTGATATCATTGCAATTTTCATTAACTATTTGGGAATTATCATTGGAAATTTCATTAGCCACCTTGGCAATATCATTGTGATTTTCATTAGCCTCTTGGGCTATATCATTGGGAATTTCATTAGGAATCTGGGCAATATCATTGTGATTTTCATTAGCTATTTGGGAATTATCATTGGAAATTTCATTAGCCTCTTGGGCAATATCATCGGAAATTTCATTAGCCACCTTGGCAATATCATTGCGATTTTCATTAGCCTCTTGGGCAATATCATTGGGAATTTCATTAGGCACCTGGGCAATATCATTGCGATATTCATTAGCTATGGGCAATATCATTGCAATTTTCATTAGCTTAGTTGGGCAATATCATTGGAAATTTCATTAGCTACTTGACTGATATCATTGCAATTTTCATTAACTATTTGGGAATTATCATTGGAAATTTCATTAGCTGCCTTGGCAATATCATTGTGATTTTCATTAGCCTCTTAGGCTATATCATTGGGAATTTCATTAGGAACCTGGGCAATATCATTGCGATTTTCATTAGCTATTTGGGAATTATCATTGGAAATTTCATTAGCCTCTTGGGCAATATCATTGGAAATTTCATTAGGCATGTGGGCAATATCATTGTGATTTTCATTAGCTAACTAGGCAATATCATTGGAAATTTCATTAGGCACCTGGGCAATATCATTGCGATTTTCATTAGCTATTTGGGAATTATCATTGGAAATTTCATTAGCCTCTTGGGCAATATCATTGGAAATTTCATTAGGCACATGGGCAATATCATTGCGATATTCATTAGCTATTTGGGAATTATCATTAGAAATTTCATTAGCCTCTTGGGCAATATCATTGGGAATCTCATTAGGCACCTGGGCAATATCATTGCGATTTTCATTAGCTACTTGGGCAATATCATTGGAAATTTCATTAGGCACCTGGGCAATATCATTATGATTTTCATTAGCCTAGTTTGGCGATATTATTGCGATTTTCATTGGCTACTTGGGCAATATCATTGGAAATTTCATTAGGCACCTGGGCAATATCATTGCGATTTTCATTAGCTACTTGAGCAATATCTTTGGAAATTTCATTAGCTGCTTGGGCTATATCATTGTGATTTTTGGTCATCAGGAGGGTGGGTGGTCACATGACCTATTTCCAAAAATGGTCAAAAAGCGAAAATTGTAGCCCTGCACTGTAGCTTCCTGAACCTGTTGGAATTATGTTCTAAAGTGCTCCCATTGTGGAGATATAACATAAAGTCTTTTTCTCATCACCGGCTTTTTTTGACCTTTTTGCATTTTTCTCCATGAGAACAACACCATACAAAATGATTTTAACACATTTAGAAAGCTAAGAGAAAGGGCTACAATTCTTGTATCATGGGGAAAATGACCAAAAAAGGAAGGTGCATACCCTAACAGGTAAATTGACACTGACATATTATAAAAGATTGCAGGTAGACTACAAAAGTCAGTTATGGACTACAAAGTGTACTAGTAGACTACAAAGACCACAAAAAGTCAGACATGGACTACAAGCTTACTGATAGACTACAAAAGACTACAGAAGTTGGACTTAGACTACAAAGTTTACTAATAGACTACAAAAAGTCAGACATAGACTACAAAGTTTATTGATACCCCCAATTGCTGTTATTGACAATCCACTTTTTTCATTACAGAAGTTAGTAGTGTCCATTACAAAAGTCTGTAGTGTCTGCTTTTTCATTACAAAAATCCATAGTGTCCGCTTTTTTGGACTACAAAAGTTTGCAGTGTCCGCTTTTTCATTACAAAAATCTGTAGTGTCCTCTCTTTACAACTACAAAAGTTTGCAGTGTCTGCTTTTTTCATTACAAAAGTCTGTAGTGTTTGCTTTTTAGGACTACAAAAGTTAGTAGTGTCTGCTTTTTAAGACTGCAAAGTTTGTAGTGTCTGTTAGCTTGTAGTGTCTGCCTTTTGACACTACAAAGGTTTGTGGCCTGGTTTCTGACATGTACTTTGTATGTGCATATGTGTGCATATAGTTGATTTGTGGTCTGGTTGACATGTAGTTTGTATGCCCTTGACTATACAGTGACTCACTATAAGTTTTGCACCACTTAAAAAATACTATATCTTCCTCAACTTCTGGGGACTA